GCGCCGGGAGCCCCGCCTGCCTCCAAGTGTCAACTCCAGCCTGTTACTCTCCCAGCATTAACCCCTTCTGCCCACCGGGGCCTGATCCTGCCCAGGGGCTCGGGGAGGTGGTCCTGCCCCAGGGGCTGGGGTTTGGCCCCTGATTTTCCCCCCTCCTCCTCCCCACCATGGGAGGATTTGCCCCAGGGGGGTAATTTCTCTCCCGTTTCCCCCAGCATCCCTTCGCTGCTGGAAAGCACCAGGCCTTTGCCAGCTGGAGAGCATCTCCTGTCAGCCCGCAAGGCAGAAGGTGCCTCGGGAGGTTTCGCCCCGCCGTTCCCATGTCCTTTGCTTAGCCAGGGACAGGGAGGGCTTTGGGCCCCAGGGAAAGCTCCAACAGTGACACATACAAGGAGGTTTCCATGCCCTGACCGAACAGCTGGGTCCACATGGGGTTTCCTCCGGCTGGAATAAGGACACGGGCTAAATCAGACTTGTGGCAAGTACCTATGAGAATAAAACAATGCAGCCAGCTCCTCCTGTCGTGTTTGTTTGTTTTTTTTTTTGGGGGGGGGGTGTGTGTTGTGCTACTTCATTTAAAACTCAGCTCTCCCCCTTTCAGATCAAGTTTTTCTCCCCATCCGTATTCCCTTACAGTGAGTGAATATCCTACAGGACTATAAAAGTCTCAGGCTGTAGAAACAGGTAGCTCAGCAGTGGCAAATATCAGGAGATGGACAGAAACACGCTGTCCCTGGCTGGGAACCTGCTCAACACCAGGGAACAACCAGCTGTAATGGAGAAAGGGAAATTAATCCTTATATATTACTCCTTCTTTCCTCTTAAGCCCTCCTTCCCCATTAGTTCATGAGATTCCTGGCCTCTGGAGCGCCCTTTGTGCGGCACTGAGATATCCCAGGATGCCCTTGCCACAGTCTGGGGGTGGTGGGTCCTATCCTGCTCCATACCCTGATTTTCTAAGCTTTTTACAGGGGGTAACACATGCTCAGCACCGGGCTTGTGCTCCTTTAACCTTGCTGTGGATGCAAGCCCAAGGACCAGCTCCTCTACACTGTGGTTTTTTTTTTTTTTTTCCCCTTAGCCTAATCCTGAAAAGATCCGAAAGGGTAAAGCAGCATTTGGCACCTCGGGATTCCTGGGAAACCAGAGTCCGGCCACAGCTGAGCAACGAGGCTCAGGGTTAAAGGCTGCTCTCCCTTTACATGAGGATGTATTTACATCTGCCTCTCTATTATTATCTCCATTTAAAAGCCACATCCCTATCTATATAGTAAACACACAGCCCTGGCTCTAAATAGCAGTGCTGCCCTGGGGCCAAGGCTCTGATTACTTTTTCTTTTTAAAGTGTAGGTTTTGCGACCGTAGGAGGGGAGGAAATAATAATTAAAAAAAAAAAAAAAAAAGGCAATGCCAGGCACGATGTAGTTCGGTCTGGGACATCTCTCCAGGGCTGCGTATCGAATGTGTTCCCTCGACACCCAGCGCCTTGGCTGCTCTCCTGCGGCAGCCGGCTCCGGCCGCAGCCCCCTCCTCTCCTGGCAGGGAGCTGAGCCTGCAGCTGGAGCAGCTTCTTCCTAGCGGCCAGGGTGGGTTTTTGCAAAATGCAATCACAGTTTGCATTTTAAAATCAGAAGGCAAGCACAGAGGCAGGACCAGAAGCCAAAAGTGAGCCTGGACTCTGCCTCCTCCAAGCCCAAACCCCCCTGAAGGTGCCTGCACCTCACTGGGCTTTGCTTTGCGTGAAGCACAGGAGGGTAGGCAAGGCGAGGTGGTGGCCCTGCTCTGAACTAGGACAGGTAAGGCTGCAGGCGACACAGGGCACGTCTCTCCAACAGGATGCAATTTATTCCTGGCTTTCCGTTCTCGGAGCCGCATCTTTGATCTCAGAGGACATGCTTGCATCTTACCTTGAAGGCACCACTGGTTTTCATTAGCGGCTTGCTCTGCAAACAGTAGCTGGAATTTCTTGTAGCCGACATGAGCCTCACTGGGCTTGTTACGAACCAGCTCGAAGGGGCGCTGGGAGACAGCAAAGCCTCACCTGGCTGCCCCTCTGCATCTCCTCCCAGCAGAGGATGAGGCACCCCAAGACTTTTTGGGGTTTCTGCTTCTTAACCCTCGCAGGACATGCTGCCACCAAACCTTGCCTGTCACTCGGGGCTGCGGCTCTCATTTCTGTGGGGCTGTCTGAGCATGTGAAAGCCATTAACTCCCTAGTCACTGCGATTTAAAGACCCTTTTGATCAAACAGCTTGCAAACGTCTGCCCCGCTCCCCTCTGCGTGTCCCCAGCTCGGCAAAGCCTGGCAGCGGGCAGCTCCCTCTCGCATCCTTCCCAGAGGGCAAAGCCCAGTGCTCCTGGCACCCATCTCCCAGGGAGTTTTGGCTGCCAGGATGAGGCCCATGTTGCATTTGCTGTTCGTGCTCTGCAGCAGCGAGATTGTCCCATTTTGGGGGTCTTTGGGATGCTTTGCTCTGCCTTCCTTGCTCTGCAAATGAGCTTGCATCCAAATTTGCAGTGCCAGGCTGGTGGTTTAGGTATTCCCCTGTTTGCTTTGCCCTCAGCCCGGGAAAAACATTTGGGAGAATTATTTGAGCGATCAACAAAGCAGCTACAATCTCAAAAAACATATTACCACTAGATGTCAGTGCCGCCCTGCGCTGCTTGGTGGGAAACCCTAAATCCATCCCTGCGAGTTTGCGAGCGGGTCCTGCAGCAGCAAGAGGAGAGCGAAGGGGTCCTGCAGCCAGCATAAAACCCACCTGATGTCAAAAGAAGCAATTCCATTAGTTTTCCTTTTAAAATAAGCAGGTGGGAAGAAATCTCTCCCAGAAAAGCAGCTGGGCTTTAAATCAGGGCCCTGGCCTTGTGTCTGCTAAGTTATCTGCAGTGAAACCATCTTAGTTGCAGAAGCTGGAAAGTGAGATTCAGGGAAAGGGTTGCTTGCCTTAGGTTTGCATGAGAAGGGGAGATTTGGGCTTGATTTGGAGCGAGTGAGAACCGGCAAGTGAATTACGTAGCAAATGTGCCATCCTAGTATAAACCTGTAATCACAGTGTTGAACCCCTGCTGCATGACCACAGCCACGAGAGGGCCCTCCTGCCTTACAAGTAGTGATAATTTAGCATTTGGTACCTCAAAACCCCCTCAAAACCTGGTTCTGCCTTCCCCTTAGTGCAATATTTGGCCCTCCAGTGCAGCAGCCCATCCCGGGAGACCATGTGCCAACGGGATCAGAGGTTTGGTGGCTGTGAGAGTGATTCTGGGAAAACCAAAATTCCTACTGACTCCCTTAAATGTGGAGAAATCAGATTTTTAGGATTTAGGAAAGGGCAGGAACAGCCAGGCTAGGTCTCGGTTTCTCAGCTGATGATGCCGCCTCCAAAAACTCTTGGTGCCGTAGACGCACCATAAACTGGGCATATCGAGAGCAAAGGGCCATGGTTGTGATTTGATTTGATTTGATTTGATTTGATTTGATTTGATTTGATTTGATTTGATTTGATAGGGTTCTGCCTCTGATTTCTAAACCATCTTAAGGCACCTCCTTATTTATTCCCTATTTTTAATTGCATTTTGATTTGTAATGCAATCCATTGCATTCAGTTCCATTTCACACCTTGATTTGCAGAGGAAGAAAGTGTCACCAGAGGGCAACCTTGCTTCAGGGTGGGTTTGGAGCTCCAGTTGCGTGCAGGTGTGGCTGTAAGGAAAGCAGGTTTATGGCTTTCCAAAATCAAGGGCTAAATCCTATTTCCAGCACTGCAGCCTCCTCCCAGGCTTTGCGCTCCCTGGGGAGCTGCTTCTCTGCTTCCCGGATGGGTTTTGAGGCTTGCAAGGTGCCCCGAGACCAGCACATCAGTGAGAAGAGCCTCCAAGAACCGCCTGGTCCTGCCGCAAGGAAGGGTAAACTTGCAAAACTGGGGCTAAAAACCTTCAAATTTGACAGAGACCTCCAAGCCTACCCTAGGCCTGCTTTTCCTATGAACCAGCCCATAAATAGCGCTAAATAAATACGGCAGGTTATAATGAAAATACTCTTCTCTAGAAAAAAAAACCCACATCTGAATCCTTCCTCCTCTCTATTCCATGGTTTATGGGCTGACAAAAATGAATGAACTTCATAATCGTTGGCCTGAGTGATGAGCATCCTCGGCAGCTGGCTTGTGAATCTCCATCAGCTCAGGTTTATTCCAGATGTGCATCATTTTGACAACCTTTCAGGCTTACCCAGATCTGCAGCTTCACCCTTTTGCAAGCTTGGTGTCTTTATGCATCTTTGGCTTATCTGTTTCTAACATGAGCATTGCATAAAGCTAATTAATCAAGGATGGACCCTGTCTCAGGCAGGTGGGTACAATATAGAGCTGTGTACTCCTGGGTCATAAATCTTCAGGCTGAAGGTGTGTGTATGAACGATAAGAAACATGTGATACTGGTTTTGGGGGATATGTGAGACCATCGTCTAGCTCCTCTCAATTTTCACTGGAAAAACCTGTGGCTATCTTCCTTTAAACAGACGAGAGCCTTAAATACCAAGAGGGGTGAAGAGAGGGGGGAATTTCGGATGCTGTCTGGGTGTATGAACTATCAGCAACCCCAGGACCTGCAATACTGGCTGGGAATCAGGCAAAACCAGGCTTTATGATTTTTTCAGCATACCTTGGTATTCCCATGTCGAAGCCCTGCCAGATGCCAGAGTTGACATTACGTGTCGGGCCCATGCGAGAAGGCAGCAGAGATGCTCCTGCTCCAGGAGCAATGAGACAAGGCACAGGGATCCTTCTCCTGTGCCGCCTGTGCATGGGGGGAGCAGGCCGGTTTGATTTTTGTTGTGTTGCACATAGACACGTGTTTTGAGGCTTGCAAAGCAGAGATCCTCTTCTCTCACGGGGCAGGTAAAGTGCTGCTGCCATTCCTGTTGCATAGAAGAACTGCAAGGGCTGCATGGGAAACCCAAGGCAGAGCATCCTGCCCATCTCCAGTCGCTATGATCCGAGCTAGAATAAATCTAATTAAATTCAGCATCTTCCTGGACCAAGGATGGGGCAGGTTTTAGGTTACAAAGACCTCCGCGTGCTCAGGTTTCTTGCCTATCTCTCCCTCAATGACCCTATCTACACCCAGCCAGCTTTCTTTCTCCAAGCCTTTCTTTCCTGGAAAGCCGCCTAACAACTCGCTTTGACTCATCTTCAGTCCCTGGAGAAGATTCTCCTTCCTACCCATGTGGTGGGGAGTTGGAAGAGCACAGCCTCCGATCTGCCAACCTTTCAGCCAAAGACAAGTGAGCATCTTGCAACGCCAGCTTTTCCTGCCTACAACCTTTCCATTCTGTCTTTGGCCTGGACCTCTCAGAGATGGTCTATTTAAAACTATTTCTTTTGTGAACTGGAACAACCAAGAGATAGGTGAGAGGTTGGGTTTGTTTTTTTTTTTTTGCTTTGCTTTTATTTCTAACTTCGCACCCTTGGCATCACAACGATGATGAAAAAAAAGAAAGAAAATAACTTGTCATCACTTCCCGGAGGTGCTTGGGATGAAGCAGGAGGAAGATGGGAGAAGGAGGGTCTATACTGCAGACCACCTCACACTGATATTTTAAGATCAGACCTGGGTGAGATGGGTTTTACCTTGAAAATCACAGCAGGAGGTATACATTATCTTATATACCTTAATATACCTTATTATTCATAGCTGTTCGGTGAGGTCCAAAGGCATCTTCCACCTCCATTCCCTACTTAGCATGTGGTCTCCTGTAGGTCACCTATATCCAGCCCATTTCCATTAAATCCAGGCAAACTACAGGGCATGAAAAGCAGCCAGATTCAGCCCCAAATACCTGCAAAGACATGCAGAGTGAGACCAAGGTGTTATCTTGGGCTGGTTCCTTCCCGCAGGCTGTGGGGAGCAAGCAACTGCTGGGAGGTCCCCAAAGAAGGGACCTGCCTGCTCTCTCCTTCCCTGACCCTCCCCTGTCGTGCCTGATCACTGTAATCTGCCCCTTCATGTTGGCAGGAGATATAACAGAGATATTCCCCTCTGCTCACCCTGGTTCCAGAGGGACGTGCCGTGGAGATAGCAGCGCCCTGAGCAGATGCCACAACCCTGGGACTGCTCAAGGGCTTTGTCTGGGTCCTCTCTAGTGACAGAGACTGGAAAAATCATGGCATGTCCTTGAGCAAGAGGAAAAATAAAATAAAAATATGCCTCCCTTCCTGTCTGGAGTGCTCTGAGACATGCCAGTAGCCCCTGGAGCTGCCTGTAAAGGGGGAGCCCTAAGGGCAATATATGCTCCGTATACTCAGCAGCTTTCCTACTCACCGTGGGCAGGAAAATGAAGGCAGCAGATGATTTGGCTTGCAAACAAAGCTCTGTCTTTGGATAGGTCATTCCCTCCTGTTCAGCGAGAGAGTGAGGACAGGGGAGGCTGTGAGAGAGCAGCCAGCTGATCTGCCGCTTCCCTTCAACCCCAAAGATGCTGGCACACTGTTAACATCATGGGACGGAATGAGTCCAGCTAAAACCCAGTGTCTGACAAGATGGAGCGGGTCTCAGCTCAGGCTGAGCCAAAACACTCGCATTTTCTGCCTGCCTTTCCCCATCAGGAGGCAATCAGATGTTCTCCAGGCTGGGGGTAAAGTACTGCCAGTTCGGTTTGACTCATCCTCTGTTGCTGGAGATCATCTACCAGATGGAGGAGCTGGAGTTCCCCGGGCAGCAATGACTAACCCTGGCTTGATGACCACTGGGCTGGGGTACCTGGAGCCAAGGGGCTCTTACGGTGCACCTAGGGACCTTTCTGCTCCCTTTCCCGGTATCTCTGCAGGCCAGAGACCCCCTGAGCTCCTTGCGGCTCAGCGTACGTGCCAGCCTGCGGGGTCTTCTGCTGTGTCTTTCCCCGGCACTGAACACCAAACACTGCCTGAGATGGTGCAAGCGCTGCTGCCTGCCCGTCGCATGTGAAGGGAACGAGAATTTACTGTCTTTAACTATGAAGCCACAAAGAGCGAACAGAGCGGAGGTGGGGACGGGAGGAAGCACAACAGCCTCCTCATTCTGCTCAGGAATCCAGCACAGCTTCAAAAACAAGCCTCATTCCCAAAATGTCCCCAGGAGCCACGGGCTCAGCCCAGAGCTGGATGCTGCTGATGTGAGGTGGCACCTCTGGGACCCTGCACCACCCTGGATGCTGCTATGGTTGCGGGGATAAACTTGTCCTGTTGAACGGGGCAGTGCTGTGAGAAGGAGAAGTTCCCTCCTGGCACCTCAAGATGCTCAAGGTTGTGTCCTTTTCCCCTTGCACCTCCACTCCCTGTGCTGCCCGTTTTCTCTTTGTGGTCCTGTCGACATCCCTGGACATGTTGCGCTTTGGCCAGAAGGCAAAAATCCCTGATTCACTGAGCCCAGCGCAGACAGATGATTATTTTGGGTCACAAGTTCAGCTCCAAGCCACACGACCGAGCAAACCACAGCTTGGGGAAGCGCTGGCACCAGAACGAGCCAGGCTGCAGGCTGTGGGCCCTGCATCTTAAGCAACAGTCTTGGCTTATATTTAATATATGCACAAATTCTTAAGCTGGGCTTGCACCCTTTGTTGAGGCTTGAAATCACATCAAAACCAGCCTGTCTATGAGAAGGACTTCATTTTATCATTAAAGCAACCCAGAGTGCTGGAAAGGAGCGTGGGCTGTGAGGACGTGTGTGACTTGGGTGCCCGGTGGTAGCTTGGGAGCATTGCAGAAGTGTCCATCCTTCCCTTTGGGCACAAAACCAGTTTGTGTGGAAACAGAGCCGCTGCAGGGGAAAAAGACCCCTTGGGCACCTCCCTGTGCAGCCCATCCCAATGTCGGGGTGCTTATTGCTGTCAATAAATCTATTCCTCAGCCACGGATGGTTACTGAGGACTCTTCATCGCTCTCCTTTTAGCTGTCCTGCTCCAAAAAAATCCTGCCCATGATGAGATCTTTTTACCTCCCAATAGCATCAGCTGCCCCAGCGTCCTCCCTGGTCCCAATCACTGTTCTGATGAGCATTTTGTTTGGTGGACATGGGGAAATTCCCATATATTCCATATAGTGTGTCCCGGGGTCTCAGAGGAGAGGACATTATGGGTATTAACACTTACAGAGTGCTCCCTTTGGTGGCCCTGGGGATGCAGGGAGGCTGAGCTCTTTCTGGGAAGTGGAAATCGCCCCTTTGACCCTTGGTTGGAGGCACTGCATGGGGCTCGGTAGGGTAGCGAGCACCAAAAGCTGGTCCCCTGGGGCGAAGAGCACCGGGATACGCCGGGTCTGGAGGCAGACGGGGCCGGCATTTTGCTGGGGTGGCAGGTCTGAAGGTGCGTGGAGGGACACAGCCTGGATCTCAGTGCTAAACTCACCTGGGCTGCCAAAATCAGATTAATATCTTCCCGAAGAATTTTGAGAGCCAAACCCTCAGCTGCCAAATAGCTGAACTGTCAGCAGCACGGAGCAGAGGACCTTTCAACCTCACTGCACACCCCTGCCCCAAGCAGAACCCTCCCGGGAGAGGGGTACAGAGCTTCATCCATCCCCTTCGCTCAGAGCCGGACCCAGCACGGCCGGAGAGCGGCAGGAGGGAGCCGGGCAGAGAGGGGCATCCCAGGGGGGCTCCAGGGTCCCCCTCTCCGCTGCCAGAATACAACAGAAGAGGGTGTCCCGTGTGTCCCCCCCCCCAATCCCGCACCCCCCCGGGGAGGCGGCGGCGGCGGCC